ACATTTATGTCCCTAGAATGTAAAATGACTATTTTACCCTTGATCTTTTAAAAAAATCTCCACCATATCCCTTTCTACTTCCTTCGCCCAGTAATAGTGTCAAAATTTGCAGATTTTGGCAGATTTCAAATTACTCAGTTTTAGACAACCAAACTAGTTCCAAATCGAAATAAAACATGAATTATATCTAATTTAAGTTGAAAACAACAATTTTACCATATAATTCATCCTTAATTTCAAGAATTTAATCAATATTTAAAACTTTGCAAAATATGAATAGTAATCACCTCTAGTACACCATTTTCAAAATCCAGGTTTCAAATTTCTCAGTTTCAATCACCCAAATTAGTTCCAAATCAAAATTAAACCATAAACATGTTCAATTTAAGTTAAAAACAACAATTTTATTATATAATGCATTCTTAATTTCAAGAATTTCAAAAACTTTCAAACGGTGAACAGTTCATCAAAATCAGAAATTCTTCAAAATCAGACATTCAAATAATTCATATCTCTACTCCTATTCCTTATTCACAGAGTACCTAGCAATTCAATTTCATATATTGAATGAATTAAACTTCCCCTTACCTGGTATGGTATTTCTACCGAAGTTTTCCCACTTAATTCAAGCTCTCTCCCGTTTCACCAGATCCTGCACGAGTAGAGTCTCGTTGCTTGAAATTTAGACAATAGAAGAAGAAGGATGAGAGGAAAATTTTGATTCTCCTTCTCCCCCGCTTCAGTATGCATATATAAGAAAACAATTTACTGTGCATGAGGAAAACTTCGTTAAGAAAACTTCGTAACACAATATTAATATAATATTAAAATAAGGCATACGTCACATCAATTCCTATCTTAATTTACATAGAAATTATAATTTTTTATGATAGTTAAGACATTAATTGACATAAAAAAAATATATTCTATAAGAGTAATAATAGCAACTAACATTATAGTATTTGTTAGAATACTCTCTTTAATTTATTTTATTTTATCGACCAATTTCCTACATAATAAATGCATATATTTTTTTAAATAGCCTTCTTTCATAGATAATGAAATTTGATACAAAATAAGTTATAACTAACAACAAGTATATAATGTTACATCATTCAAAGTTAAAACAAATAATATTACTTAATTTACATCATTCAAAATAAAAGAATCTACAAATTATAAAAAAGTTTATTGCATTTGAATCTCTATTACAACTTCAAAGGAATAATTTTCTTCAAACATTTTATCCTTTAAAAAAAATCCATGAACTGATGACCCTTAGTTTTTATCTAGTTTTAGTTAATTTTTCCAATTTCCTAATAAATTTTGGTGTTTTTGAAAACAACAAAACAATGCTACAACCACTCCCAATTATTAAACATGTTATGTTACTACTTATATCAATGGATTTCAATTTAATTTAATTTAAACGCATGGCTTGTTGGTTAATGGTAATAATTAGATAGTTTGTGCAGGCATAAAAGAAACATGTGAGTGGGAAAAAGGAACTACACTGAAATGTCTCGCATATGATCCCATAGTTGTAGAAATAGTCAAAGAAACATGTCCATAATTTCTCTGTCCTTCTAAGCCTATACCTAGTCTAGTGTTTCTCTAGGAGTAGCACTTTCATATTAATAATGCCAATGTTTATCTCACCAATACATAAATCCCTAAATATTTTTAAGTTATAAACGTAACAAATTTTAACCGATGAAATTTTAATTGTTATGTATGCCCACGAATCCCACGACTATCTAGCAGTTCAACTAATAAAAATTTTTATATATATATATATATATATATATATATATATATATTTTTTTTTAATTTATCGAAATGTGTTTTAAAATAAAATTATCACAGATGAATATTTTAAAACAAATAATATATCATAAAAATTTAAGATATTATCATAATAATCAATATCAAGAGTTCATTTTTACACTAACCACTTATCAATCTCAAATATTAAGAATGATTCTATATTTATTTTTTCAGTATTTTGTACCATAAAAAATTAAAAAATAAAAGTGTCTCGTGTTTATAAGTTTTGAAAAACATTTCATGGTGTTTTTCTTTGAATAATTTTGTTGAGCTTCACTTTTGATGTTTTGTAATTGATTGATGTGGCTTGTGAATTTTCTTCTCTGCATACGTAGCTTATTTAAATATTCTTTCGCACCCTAGATCAATGGTTTACAACTCGTATCTAATCAGTTTTTAAACGAAAAAAAAAGAGAATATAAAATTAGTATAAATTAATAATAAAATAATTATAAAAAATTTATATACGAACCCTTTGTACAAATTAATTATATAAAGACCACAGAAAACGGAATCGAAGATGTGTGAGAATAATACGTGTGCGAAAGTATCTAATTTATTAACTCTATAATAAAATAATTTTTTATTATACATATATTTTTAATATAATAATAATTTTAATAAAATAATGATTCATGACAAGAAAAATAATTTGTCATAATTATATTTTAAATCATTTTTTATTGTAAATAAAATATTAATAATTCGTGTATATCATAATATTTATTGGATGAATATTAATAAATTTTATTATTCATTTATATATATATATATATATATTATATATATATGATAAATATTTAAATGAATGTTTTTATAGTGAATATTAGTTTATTATGTTAATAAGAAATTATTAAGAAAAAAATATAAGATTAATATGTTAATTGATAAGTTGTTTATTATAATTTAATTTTGAACACTTAATATTTTAGAGTTGTTGAATGAATATTGAATATAATTTAATAATTATGAGATTCATGATTTTAAGAACGGATTTTTAAATTATAAGTAATGAGTTTAAGCTCTCACTAGTATAAAATATAATTATTATTAATTCTTAATTCATCTAAAATGATGTGTAATGATAAAATTATAATATTTTCAAAAAATTATCTATGTTATTTTTATAATTGATGTAAAATCTATTGAATATGAGTTAAAATCTTTTATAAAATAAAAATAAAAATAATAAAGTTGAATAATATATAAATAAAAATATTATTAAATTGAAAATAAATTCTTATATAATTATGTTTGGTTATCATTGATTAAATCTAACAATATATTAATACCCTCTAAAAAATATTAATAATTTTTACTTTTATTTTTAGTTTTCTTTAACCATATTATCATTATTACATATTTTTCTTATATTTTTAATTTATTCTAAAAAATTACTTTCCATTCTTAATTTTTATTTAATAATATATATAAATCATAATAAAAAGACTAATTTATCCAGAAAAATTTATTTTTTAACCTCTATATTCTTCATCATCTTTTTTTTTAATTTATCTTTTTTTTTATATTTTTTCAATAGTTTATTATAAAAAAATCTTATCGTCAAAAATAAAATTCTAATTCCTTTATTAACCAACGTTTAAATAATGTTTTATTTTATTATAAATTCTGAATAAAACTCTAATCCTCCTTATTAAATACCGTCTAAATAAATATTTATTTTATTAGTACTTCTTGTAATAATCAAAAGATGCTTACGTATTGATTATATTATTCTTGAGTCGATCGTCTTTCACACAAACACTCTTTTCTTTCATCCGAACTAATATCCTCAACCCTCTATGCCATGCACAACCCTTTTGTTCTCCTCCCCACGTCACACACTTCTTTCTCGCCGACTATGCCATCTGCATTCCAATGTGCCACCACTTGTTGGACCTGCTTCCTTTGTCGTTCATAGCAAGTGTTAAGTTAATTATATATTTTTAATTAAATAATTAATTCATACCAAACAGAAATAACACCAATAAAATCTGAGTTTAATTCATATAAATATTAATATCTCTTCAACTTAAAATTTTAAAATATTATATTACGACGGATTGTTAAATTTTTTCATTCTTACCAATACCAAACTTTAATTCACATTTCGATTATCATCAAGATAATCAAGTTTAATTTCCAAAAGAAATGATGATTTAATAGAGAATTTGATATGAAACATTTTCTATTATTAAAACCATCACAATGCTTATATCTCTGGACGAAATCACCGGATCGGCGTTCCCGCGAAATACGAAAATTTTTCATCTCAATTTACTCATTCTTCATAGCAAAAGACAAAACACTGAACCAATAAAGGCAAACGCGCCTCGGCATTCAGATATGGCCACACGTAAGTGGGTCCCACCTTCCCCAGCTTCGGGATTCGTGACACCCAGACAAGTCTTCCTATGTGGGCCCCACTCCTTCTTTCTTTCCACCGTTCCCATTGATAACGACACGCCCCCCCCTCTCTCTCACTCCCCTCACTCACTCCATTAAACCCATCTTTCTTTTTCCCTTTTTTTTTGTATTCTCAATTTTATAATATCAACTAATAAAAATTATTTTATATACTTTTACAATAATTATTACAAGGAACCAAATTTTTTTATGATTAGATAGAATAACTACTACTTATTTTGTTATAATCAATGCTTTAATATTTCTATAAAATACAACTTTTCTATTCTATTATGTTATAGACCAAATTGTTTTTATTTTTTTTTAAGAATTGAGAAATTTTTTTTTTTTAAATAGTGGTAAGTACTTTGTAGTTTTTATACACTTCTTACGTATTCCTCGTCAGAAATTCATTAATTACTTAATATTTATAAATTAATATTTTAGATTAAATTAAAAAAAAAAGATAAATAAACAACGTTTTATATTCTCGCGATAGTCATTTTTATAATAAACTAACTTTACATTGTTTTTACGAGGTAAAGCTTCTTACGTTACCAGTCAGTTACTATACTGACATTGAATTAAAACTAAGATCTTTCTTTTTATATTTTCTCTTTTCCTTTTCCTGTATAACGTAATCGATGATTATTCCTTTTCTCTTTTCTGAGGGAAAGAAAAACGCGGCACGTTAATACAAAACAGAAAATAAAGAAGAGAAGAGAAAAAAAATATACGAAGATGAACTCAGAAGAAAGAGCGAAATCATGAAAGAAACAACAGTGGCCTCATTGTAATTCTTTACTTCGCTTCTAAACTACGTCCCTTTTCTTTTTCCCATTATGCTTTGAATCCTTCTCTCGATCATTGCAGCCATACCCACGTTTCTTTCGGTTTTTCTTTTTCATTATTTTCGGGGGTGAGATTTGATGTTCTTGTTTCCTCGGAAGATTTTGGATTGTGTTTGTTGAATTGTGATTGTACATTACGCGTTGTTTCACTGCCTTTTTCTGGGTCTTTCTCTCTTCATTTAAGAGGCAAGTGTGGTGAAAATAAAGGAACAATCGAGTTTTTGTGTTTAAAGGAAACTAATTGACCGGTGTTTTATATTATTTTTCCCTTCGGGAATGTGGGTTTTGTTGCTCTTGATTTTCTACGAAGAGGGTAACTTGCAGTTTCTATTCTTGTTACAATGTCTCTTTTTTTTTTCGAGGCAACCAAACAGAATTTTACTTGGTATTGAATTTCTGATTTTTTTAGTTAAAATTTGTTTTTTCCCCCTATTTTTCAGTTGGGTTGAGTATTAAAATCGAAATTAGAAATCTATCGTTTTCGTTATTAACAAGATGCAGATATCACTGTCACAGTGTCGCGCATGTCATTTTATATGTAATGAATGATGTGTATATGGTTCTTTGTATTTGGCTGCTGTTTCTGTTTTGTGTTACACGATGTAGGATTATGCGTAGTTAGCATCAAATTTAGAAAAAATGATATAACTTTGTAATGGGAAGTGAAATTCAATCCCTCTGTTGTCTCTGTTTTGGAAATGAAGGGTAGTATCCATCATCACTTTGTTCATTGAATTATAAAGAAGATGGGTTTGAACCAGTCTCTATGAATTTCCTTTGTTCAATGCATTCAATTATTTCCACTTCACGTTTCTTTCTTCCGCTATCCCTTCTGGAGGACATTGTCAAAACTTTGTTCCATATTTTTCGGGATTGATGTTGCTATTTTATATTTGGTGCCATGAAAAAACGGTAACCCTTCAATGTGATCAATTTTGTAGATCGTTTAATTATTAATTGTGTCATGGGGTGAACCCTTCTTTTCACAAACCTTGTTTCATTTTTCACTCTCTGGAGCCTGGTTAATTTTTTATTTTTTAACTTCTGTTACAGTAATTTCTTCCTTGATTCTAGTACTAGTTAATGCAAAGTTCACTGTGTTGAATTACCATCATTTGAACCTTAATTTTCAAACCCTTTTTCTGGTCTGCTGATGCAATTGTGAAAATTTACTGGCAGATAATTGAGTGAAGGAGAAACTCTTCTGCAGCATTAGCATATGGTTGAAACATCAGCGTGAAGTGTGAAGTTTGAGTGTGTATTTTGATGCCAACCAATAATATACAGCCAAGTAATGGATTGTTGAAACCTGCTGAGGACATGGGATTTAGTTTGGAGTTCATAAAGAGCATCTCAAAACAGAATAGCAATTTAAAGACTGATAAAGAAAAACGAAGTCTGAAGGAAGCTGATAAGTTGAAGTCAAAGAGCGGTGCTGGAACACAATGCAGTGATCTCAAACAGAAGAGTAAGCTAGATACAGGGAGGAAGATTCAGAAAGCAGAAACAGTGAGAAGGGAAACTGAAAGAGATGAACTTGTCAAGCACATGTCTAATTTGCCAGGCTATCTCCAGCGTGCCAATAGAGTAGAAAACTTTCAAGAGAAAGCTTTCAATGTTGGTGTTCTAGATTGGTCTCGACTTGAGAAGTGGAAGCAGAAGCATATCCCAGTTCTAGCTAGTAATTTCATATCATTCAGTAGTAGCGAATCGTCATCAAGAAGGGCCATCAAACCATCTACCAGTGTTGGCAGCAAGGAAAAACTCAATGATGAGAAAAATTTGCCTTCAGGAACCAGATCATCTTATAGGGAATCTGAAAGAGCCAAACTTCCTTTTCATGATGTCAAACGATTTAAATCTTCCAGAAGTGTAACTAAGAGCGCTGGAGATGAGAAGAGAATGACACCCCAGGTGTACGAGTCATCTGGCAAAACTCATTCAGATATTTCACTTGGGAAGGAGAAGAGGAATGACTATAGTAGTAAAAGGACTTCTCAAGTCAAAAGTTTTGCATCAAACACAAGGCTCCATGGAATCTCATCGGTTCGTAATGAAAATGCAAATGATATGGATGATGGAGGTAAGCAGAACATGGAGGGTTTGCAAGAGCATAATCACAAGAAAAAGGAGAGAAATCGTAAGTCCAGTTCTGATACGGGACTGCCATCTGTCAAATCAAAAGGCAAAGGTGTCTCATCCAGTTCTAAGAAAATGAGTTCCAGCAGCAGTGAAAACGAAAGAAAAGTGAATCAGTTGCAGGAATCAGATAATGACATTGTGCTGCTTTGTCCCCAAGAAATTCCCCAGTCAAGTTCTTCAGAGGATTTTCAGCTTTCTGAATCAAGAATGTCATCGGATGAAAATTTTTCAGAATCAAGCAAAAGCAGTTTGTCGTATGTTTCCCTTCCTGAGGAGGTTTATACTGAAGATAGATGTTCTAAGATTCCACTGTCAGGGCCACTGCGTTCTGCAGTTGAGCCTTCTTCTCCTTTGGAAACAATGCCACACAGCATTAGTACTGATCTGGGCATAGACCGCTCCTCTTTTATGTCTGAGACACCATCTTCCATAATAGATAAGATGTCTAGTTTGCAGTCTGCAGGTGCTGGCTTTGAAAAGGATATGTTAGATGCTAAGCTGAGAGATGAGTGTGCTTTCAGTAATTTGAAGGAATCACTGGACCAAGAAACTGCTGAACTGACAGCACAGAAGGAAATGAATCCATCCCATAATCGTAGGTTTAGTTTCAGCTTAAGTAGAATTGGAAGAAGTTTTAGTTTCAAAGAGGGCCCTACACTTCCACAATATAGTTCCATGTATGTCAGTGCAAAGTCTGGTCCTGTGACGCCTCAATCTTCTGTTCGTTGGGACAATCCAAGCAAAGAGAGGGCTAATAGTCATAACAGAAATCGATCCAGCCCCTTGCGGAGGTTATTAGACCCTTTATTGAAGCACAAGGTATCAGACAAACATCATTCAGCTCAAAGTGGTCAGACACTAGAGGGAAGCGTGAATTCAAGCTTCAGGACTGTTGGTGTCAATGAATCACTACTTCCTGAAAAGAGCAAAGGATCATCAGTTCAAGGCCTCTTGCAGCTGACGATAAAAAATGGAGTGCCTTTGTTTAAATTCGTGCTCAACAATGAAAGAAAGATTTTTGCTGCTACCAGGAACAGTTTAACCTCACTGGACAAGAGCTGCTGTTTTACGTTCTATCTGGTTAATGAAATTAAGAAAAAGAGTGGTGGGTGGATCAGTCATGGAAACAAAGAAAAAAACTGTGGCTACGCCTACAATGTTATTGCTCAGATGAAGATTTCTATCTCTAAAAACACTGACTTAGCCGATCAGTACTCTAATAAAAAGCATATGGCTAAAGAATATGTTCTAGTGGGTGTGGAAATTGGCCATACAGATCAAGGACCACCAAAGTTCATCCAGAGCGCAGAGCTTGCTGCTGTTGTTATTGAGACCTCATTTGAAAATAGCAATGAAGGACTGGATGATGATAATTACATGCCAAAGAAAGGATGCTCAAAGTGCTTGGCAGATGAAAGATGCATATGCAATTCAGGACAACATGATGCCTCTGACTGCACTACAGTTATACTTCCAGGTGGTGTACATGGTTCACCAAACAAAGGTGAACCTACCCCGTTGATCTACCGATGGAAATCTGGGGGATCATGTGATTGTGGCGGTTGGGACATTGGTTGCAAACTGCTTGTGCTCTCTAACCAGAAGCAGAATTCAAGTATTCCAAAGAACTATCAACCTTACCATGATCGTTTTCAACTTTTTGTTCAGGTATAGCTTTACAGTTCTACATAAAGTCATGCTTTGTATACAATTGCAAATATTATAGACTTCCCATTTACATACTTCATCCTTATCATTACTTTCAGGAAGGAGCTGAGCAAGACACACCACTTTTCACTTTGTTGCCACTGAAGGATGGTTTCTACTCCGTTGAATTCGACTCAACAATCACTCACTTACAGGCTTTTTTCATGTCAGTTGCGGTTTTAAGCAGCCAGAAACTACCAGGTGCCATGGAAATGGATGGCATTCATGAGGAAATCCTTAAGGAACCCAGTTCCAAGAACAACAGCAAACTTCACGGGAAAGCACCTTTAAAATATGCACCAATGCCACCACTATCCCCTGTTGGCAGAGTTTAAATTCACAACAGGTTTTCCTTTTTGTTGTTGACAGTTATTATTATGATTAGCTCTTATGATCTTCAACAAGTAGCCGAGGAATAGCAAGTTAATGCAATGTAATTGCTTCATAAATGTTATTCTTGCACTTGAAGTTTTACACTTTTATTTTACACCTACCTTTTTATTTCAACAAGGAGGGGAAGAACAAGGAAAACGTGATTCTCTTCCCTCTCTACTGCAAAGGGTGACTATAAAATGAAAGTGTAGAAAATTAAGTCTTGGAGTAACATTTTTGTTTCTCTAATTTCTTCTGTTTCCTTTCATACATGCAAATATACCTGTTGCGGAAGAAAATGGGATGGTCGATGTACTTATTTGTGATCATTGTACAAAAGAAACAACTGCAGCAACATCATCTTTGTACAAAACGAAACGTCAATAAATAAACTAGCAGGGTTATTTTCTGCACTACTCGATTGAACACTTTAAAAACAGAACTGAAACTCTAAAATCGAACCTCTAACCGAAGACGAGGATAGTGAGTCTCGGTACCCCTAAGTAGTTTGTATTTTTATTTTCTTTTTTCTATTTTTATAATATTACATGTTAGAAATAATATAATTTGAGATTCTTACCTAATTGAGATTGCATGTTATATAATGATGATTTTTCATATCTTTTACGTAAAAAATAAAGTTTTACTAAAATTTATTGAAAGAAGGCACTAATTAGTTATTCATTAAAAACCAAATTATTTCTACTTTGAAGAAAGAGGCGTGATAATGAATTTGGTTTAAACCAAATAAATGAGATAGGAATAACTAAAAATTGTGATAACTTAAATTAAATCGATTTATTTTTTCATCTAACCTATTTCTTATTTATATTTAAATATATATATATATATATATATATATATATATATATTAATGTTGTATTTTTATATATAATTATATTTTATATAATAAATGATTAAAATTAAAATTAATTTTATTAATATAACACTTCAAAAATTTTTTTTTTTTTGAAGAATCATTAGTTTTCTTTAAAAAAAAAAACTTTCTTTTAAAGAATAGATATTTTATGAATGAATGAAATTCACTCATATCTTTAGTTTAAGGGATCATATACTAATCACCTTATTCACAAAGAATTTAGCTAATAGAAGTAATTTCCAAATAAGAGAATTATAAACATATTTAAAAAATAAAATAAATTAAATTATTTTTTTCATAGACTAAAATTAACTTATGTATAAATTAAAATAAAAATAAAAAATTTGAGAGAGTCAATAGAAAATAACATTTACAAATTAGTTCATGTATGTATAAACATATTCTTCACACCTAAAAGTAGTTGGGAAAAGTGTCACCATACAAACTCTAATTTTTAACTAACTTTCTTGTATAATTGACCAAAATAGCTTACTATATATATATATATATATAAAGAGATTAACTTTGTTTTCTCTTCAGTTATAAAAACAACTTATTTTGCAGCAATGTCAGATTCACTGATAACTTAATAGTTAAAACTCTATTCTACATATGCTTTACCTTAGACTGCAGGCATATTATTTGTTGTGAGTCAAATTGTAAGGCTGAATGGCAGAATATCTCAAGATGAGTCAAACACCAAACATAACTGTTAAGGTTCCAACATAAAACCAATTGGCAATATGTGGAGTAGCCTAACATGTATTTAAACCATACCAAATGATATGAGGTAGGCGATGTGGGACTTTCAACACACCCCCTCCAACGAAGCCTGCCGGACCAGGCAAAGGGTACTTTTGACCCAACTAAAGGGCAACTTTTGGCCCATGACAATAACCGGAAAGATGTTAGGCTTTGGCTCTGATACCATGTTAAGGTTCTAACATAAAACCAATTGGCAATATGTGGAGTAGCCTAACATGTATTTAAACCATACCAAATGATATGAGGTAGGCGATGTGGGACTTTCAACAATAACGAAAACGGATTGAAACATAGAAAGAGAAGAATACAAGAAGAGCAACTCAGGGTGAACTTGTTATCTGTATTACAAACTCTGATGTGTTTATAGGTCTACTGGGGAAGCATGGTGGATACAGATAAACCACTGTCCATCAATCTTCTCAAACAAATTTGTTACAAATTGTCCTCCCCATTTGCCTCCTTTTGTCTTCACAAATTCCATGCAAGTAACATATCCTGTGTCTCCTCTAACATGAACATTAATGCTTTCTAGCTTAATTTCCAATGGAAACTCGTAGTTAGCCCATACAAAATTCCAACTCTCAATGACATCATCGTAACCAGTTATCCCCTTCAAACCAGGGTGAACACAGCATACCTCATCCCCTTTCGCCCACAGGGATTGCATGGCTGCAAGGTCACCCGTCTTGAATGACTCATAAAATCGGTTATTTGCTCCTAATAATGTTGTCTTGCTATCTTTCTTCAGAGTTTTTAGGGTATCCCTAATTTTTGCTGCTTTAACATAATTCTCTTCGGATATGGCATTTTTTAATTCATCTTCCAAAGTCTCTTCTTTATCCAATGCAATGTTCTCATCACTCAATGTGCTCTCTGAGTCTTCACTTTTAACTCTCAGTGGTCTCACTGATGGAAACCAACAACATTTTTAGACAAGGAAAAATGTTAAATTTAGTGTACTAAAACATTGGGACATAATGTTACTAACCGAATCTTCCCATTTGCGACTTGACAAATTGACAAGGTAAAAGACATAATTGGTCTTCTCTTCCAAAACTTCTGCTTAAAAGTACCTTCTTATTTGGAGTATAGGAAGGCAGAAAAACATGATGCAGCTTCTGAAAGCTATGGATGAATGAATGTGGCAAGACATTGAAATCCTTCATAATAGAAAAAGTCTCTTCATTAGAAAGATAAAATCACGGTGTTGCAAGAGAACAAGTCTACTAAAAGATACAGATCCGGTGTTGCAAGAGAACAAATCTACTAAAAAAAATACAGATCCATTATGCTCACTTCTCAGCACTCCATAAAATGATTTCTTATGGCTGAATTCATGGTATATCTTATTTCCAACCATACAATTAAAAACATAAGTAAATACAAAAGTAATACATCCACCTCTAACAGAGTCAGAAATTAACCACAGCATGCACCCTGTCAATGACAAAGCCTAATTTATTTTCCAAAATTATTTTTCAAGTAGTTAAATTAAATCCAGGTTAATTCTAATTCAATATATCATTGATGAACACACAAATGCTCCTTTATGAAAACTTTCCATGAAGCACAGTAAGAGTCTTCTCAATTCTACAAAATAATAAATAAGAAAATTTTCACTAAAAGGAAAATGGGCAACTTACATTGAAGGATAAGTTGGTTCCATGAAGCGCCATAGTTCAACCTTCACAATGCTTATTCCGGAGCAACTGCACAAATGACTTTGATGAAAAAATAAAATATATGGATGCTTATCGTGGAAATTACAAAGAAAAAACTAATGACAAGCCTGCTCTTGACAAAAAATAAAAAATAACTAAAACTAGTTCAAATTATTTGAAAAAGAAAACCAAGAACATCAACATGAACCAATTTCTTTCAAAATTCAAACAAAAGAAAAAGGAAAAGGAAAACCAAATTGCAAAGTATGAAAACAAAGAAACAGAATTCAAGTTCAAGAAAAGTTCCCATTTCTGAGATCTTTAGACCCAAGAACAAACCTTCAATATCAAAAAGTACTCCAGATTAAAAATGAAAAGTTTAGTAATTGAGATTGAGAAAAACTACACAGAAGAAGGAAAAACAATTTGGGTATGCGTGGAAACTTCACTCATCATGTTCGAACATAGGAAAAAGAACAATAACTAGTATGTAAAAGGGAGATAGAACAAGAACAGAAATCAAATAGAGTACCTTGGAAGAGAAAAATCGAAACAGTGTGCAACAGAGAGAAGAGGAGCAGGTGCCAATGCAAATGTGTGCTTAGTTGATTGAAGGAAAACAGAAGAGGGTAAGATTTCTCCTATCTCACCAAAGGAAGGGTTTTATATAAACGGTGTCGTTTGCTTGGATGAAAAATTAAATTAAATAAGTCAAATTGGAAATCCCAACATCTAAAAAAAGAAAAGAAAAAATTTAACCAACAAAAAAAAATAAATGAAATCATTTTGTAAATATCAATTTTATTAATATATAAAAAAATTATTACATTCGCAAAAGTTTTTAACAAGCTAATGTTGAAGAATTTTGAAAATTTTATAATCAGGTTATACAAGTTTTTTTTTTATAAATTTATTAGAAAAATGAAAAGAAACTTTCTTTAAACTAAAATTAACTTACAAACTGTACATGCATAAAATAAGAAAAAAAATTTATCATTAATCTAACATACATTCATTATTAATATATAAATCAAAATAAATCTCATTATTTAATAATAAATGAAAAAAATAACATATATCCAATTAATTAATATAATTAAATTTAAAATAATATTATTTATTGTTTAAAATAACTAAATAAAAATCTTATAATTAAAAATAGATTTTTCATAAGTTTACTTTCATTTTCTCATTCACACTCTTATATATTTATATTAAAATTTTTAATTATTATTAATAACTTGATAATTGAAAAACCTTGCTCTTTTTGCTTAAATTTTATTATTTTTAAGTTAACTCTTCATAATTGTCTTAAACTTAGTTAATATACACTAAAATTTTCACTTTATAAACTTATTCAATAAGATATTATTAACTTTCTTTTTAAGAAGACAAACTAATTTATATTTTTAAATACGAGATTTATGAATATAGAGCAACATATAATTAATCTTAATTTATAATTTTTTTAAAATTTATTGAAAATTTTCATGAAAACAAGCCATGTGTTCACCCAATTTTCATTCAATTCATAAGAATAGACAACATGTTTGTAAACATTTTCGAAAGATTGAATGAACAACATCAAAATTTCTCCGGAGTCCAAAACATATACTAAAATATATAAGAGATATGTAAGGTAAATTTAATATTTCTACCACCAAGGTTTTCTTAATGATTCATATTCAAATGTTTTTATTTATAAGATTGCATATTGTTATTTTGTTGTTACTTATTTGTGATCAAAACAAATAAGTCTTCATTGCCAATATTTTCCACTCCAACCTAATCTTTAAATAAGTCTTTTTCTCATAAATTTGTTTCTATTTTTCAAGAAACATCTTAATTAAAATATTTTATAAATATATAATGTAAATTGTTTTAAAAAGAAAATATAAAAAAGTTAAAACTTCCTGAAATAAAAGCAATTTATTCACTCTTTTATGCTTTAAAAAAGTTCCAATTTTCAATCATTGCACAGAACAAGCAAGAAAAAAAACATTTTTTAATATAATTTTTAACTTTACATAATATATATATATATATATATATATATATATATATATATATATATATTTCCTTTCTTTCTTATAATACGACTGAGTTTTTATGTTTTTATTTCTTTTTCTATAGAAAATTTGTGATCCTACAGGAAGGGTGAGAGAGAAAAAAAAAATATTTAATTTTTTAACGTCAATTATTTAAACTTATTCTCCTTAAGATCTATGTTTGAAACATGTTAAGTTATTTTTTTAATGCTACAAAATGATATATAAATTGTGTTTCCACAACTCAAAATTTCTGGATCCATCACTTACTGGTAATATGCCTTTTTTCTTCAATTTTGTTCTAAAAGCATGGCTGATCCAGATGTCAATTTTGTTCAAGCATACTATTCATTTGATGTATCAATTTTCAAGAATTGGATTAAAATCAGGGTTTCAGAATCAAGTTCAAGTAGAACTCCTCATCAACCAGGATCCCAAACCAAGTGGACCTTCCAAGGCACCCAATGCTTACCAGAGCATTACTAGTCATTGATCCCCGTTCACTACAAACAATAACTCTGTAACAAGAATAATCTATTGCAAAAATTATCCAACCCGATAGTAGCAATTACAAGGCTAAATAATTAAGAATCTCTATAATTGAAATAACCGAGTACTGAGAAATAATTTTTTATAACAGAAAATGGTAGAGGTGAGAAATAACTATAACAACTTCACGAGCAATTCCCTAAGAAATGACACCTGGGAAGAGAAGAAATTTTAGAACAGGAGAAATAGAATCAACAAGATGTAGAGAGACAAATTTAGAGATGAAAAGACAAAAAGAATTCAGAGAGAAGAATTAACCTCAGAATCATCCCCAATTTGTGTAGTCCTTCAGCCTTATATTCTCTCTCCTCTGCCTAGTGCTATGCCTGACTCCCACGTGTCCTTCATTTCTAACAGAATTTCGCTTCATTGTCTCTGATTGCTTCCTTGCTGATACATTACCCTCCTCATAAAAAACAACCTAGTCCTCAAGGTTGAACATTGGATAAGAGTCACGTGTCTCCTGCAAAATCTTCCCAAGTAGCATCCTTAACTTCAATATCTTCCCATTGTATTAATAGTTGAGGAACAATAGTGTCTAGGCGTTTCACAACACGCACGTCTAACACCTGCCAAGGAGAGAGCATAGGTCCCAATTCACAAGAAGTCAATGGAAACGGAAGATATGGCTGAGGACTTTTGCCATGAAATGGTTTCAAAAGTACAATATGAAACACAAGATGTATCTTAGCAGATTCTGGGAGTTGGACTTTATAAGCTACTGTACCAATCCTTTCAATTATTGGGAATGGGCCAAAATAACGCATACCAAGCTTTTTATGTTTCCTCAAAGCCAATGAATGTTGCCTATACGGTTGAAGCTTAACCAATACCAAATCTCCAACCTTAAATTCCAATTCTCTTCGTTTTTTGTCAGCCTGCATCTTCATATACTACTAGGCTTTTAGTACATTATCCTTAAGCTTGATTAAAAGTTTATCACGTTGCTGTAAGGACTCCTTGAGTGAAATAGGATCTTTAGGATTAGGCTCATAATGCAGCACAAATGGTGGTGATCTACCAAAAACAGCTTGAAAAGGTGTCATACCCAAACTTTGATGAAAAGAAGTATTATACCAAAATTGAGCCCAAGGTAGCATAATAACCCAACTCTTAGGGTGTTCAAAAACAAAGCATCTCAAATACATCTCTAAAGTCTTATTTAGATTCTCTGTTTGTCCATCAGACTATGGGTGATATGAAGAACTCATGGCTAGTATTGTTCCTTGAGCTTTGAATAACTGTTGCCAAAAAGAAATGATAAAGATTTTGTCTCTATCAGAAACAATGGTTTTTGGGAACCCATGAATTTTGACTATATTATTAATGAACGCTTCAGCAACTACCTTACTATTAATTTCAAATTTCAAGGGAATGAAGTAACCAAATTTGGACAGCCTATCCACTACCACAAAGATGGTGGTAAATCCTTGTGAGGATGGTAATTGAACAATAAAGTCCATTGCTATGTCTTCCCAAATTTGTTAAGGGATGGAAAGGGGCTGCAATAATCCTGCTGGTAGTACATGATCAACTTTAGCTTGCTGACAGATTGCATATTCCCGCACAAACTTGCCAATATCACTGCGCATTCCCGTCCAATAAAATTGAGCAGCAATTCTAGCTACTGTCCTATTGACTCCAGCATGTCCCCCAATCTTTGAACAATGAAATTCTGTCATGATTTGGTGGAGTAACTCTGAATCTTGAGGTAGCACAATTTTTCCTTTAAACAAAAGTAACCCATTCTGAATGCTATAATCAGAATATGATTGTTGCCTTGTCAAAATAGATTGATAAATCTTGGATAACTGTGGATCATTCTGAGTCAAATCAATTACACTATTAATCCAAGAGTGTATAGGAGTAGAGACAAGCATCATAAAACTTCTAGATAAAGCATCACCAGGTATATTTTATTTCCTTGGTTAGTACTGTATGGTGAAATCATATCCCAAAAACTTGGGAAACCACAGTTGTTGTTCAGGAGTTTGCAACTGTTGTTCTAACAATTCTTTAAGACTTCTCTTATCTGTCTTAATTATGAATTTATGACCCAAAAGATAATGTCTAAACTTAGCCAAAGTCTCAGTAATAGCATAGAACTCCCAAGCATAAGTTGACTGTTTCTGCATTCTTGAGGACAATTTCTTTGAAAAATAAGCAATAGGATGGTTGTTTTGACTAAGGACAACACCAATTCCACTCCCTGAAGCATCAGTTTCTTATACAAATATTTCCTTGAAATTAGGAATAGCCAAGACTGGCGCAGATGTCATAGCTGTTTTGAGTTACTGAAATGCTTTAACTGCAGTTGTACTCCATCTGAAAGAATCCTTTTTCAACAAATCTGTTAAAGGAGATGCAATGCGAGAATATGACTGGATAAATCTCCTATAATAACCTGTGAGTCCTAAA